TGTTACCGCAGATATTTCATCCCATTATAAGGGAGAGGTTCTCATTGTTTTACGAAATGTCATCTCTCATTGTGTCACCTGATTGTATAAGGGTTCTGATTATAATTCGTTATAATATTAATTTTCACAGTGCTAAGATAACTTACAACACAGTGCTAAGGTTATTAAATATTAATCTCTTAAATAGTAAAAAGTAATAGTAGTAAATTGTATTGGTTTAAATAGAGCTTTAGAGATAGATACACATAAAGCATCCTTGTAAATTTTCTATTGATAAAAGCTGCTATAATCCGTTGCGTAATTAAACGAAAGTACAGACGGCAGTAAGACACTTTGTTTTATACGAAATAAGGTTCAAAGAATACTGTAATAATTTTAGTAGAATAAGAAACTATACTTTGAAAGAAAGAATGTTTCTTATCTAGGCGTAATAAATATTATTTTTCTATAATAAACTTTTCTATAATGTAAGTAAATAATAAATTACGAAATTATTCTTTGTAGCTAATTTTCACTGTGTTCAAAGTAAGTTATGTTTTATCTATAAGCCTAATTCTATACGATTCGTTATTATAAGAAATCTTTAATAATAATAATAATAATTTTTATATATTTCTTACAAAAACTTCATATATAGAGCACAAAATAAAGCAACAGTTATTTAATATTATAAATAATTTTATTCTATTTAAGGAAATGTTTGTTTGTGTTAGATTGATACATGTTAAAGGTACCTGTGTTACAGGTCATCAAAAATATACTGCTATTTATCAGTACATTGTTTAAACCGTAAAATAATTGGTTTATTCTCCAACTATGATTTCTTACATAAAATATAAAATTCCGTACACTTTGTTGTATCAGTGACATTTAACACACAGTTCATTTACATATTCAACAAAACCATTTCTTAAACCACAAGTTAAATAACCACAATTATTATACCTATAACTCGTCACAAATTGTTCGCCGTATTTCAGTTGCGTTTATAAATTAATTTAGACAAGAAGAAGATGTAAAAACTTCAAAACAGCAATTACATTTTATAGCCAACCATTATATTAATCATCGCTTTAATTAATTTAGCATTTGGACAAATAGCTGTTCATTCTTTTTGTTTGATTGATATTGTATAAAAGTTTCACTGGAGGATTTAACATCTGGTCACTTGCTATGTTTAGCTATGAACGTCATCCACGACTTTGTATGTGTGACAATGTATGAATACTTATATCATAAAAAGGCCGTTGATTAATTCGAAGAATTTAATTTGTTTTAAGACATTATATCCACTAAATGATGACGTAGGTATAGTTAACTTACGTAGTTTAAAAGTTAAAGCGATTAATATAGATCGTACTATAACTATATAAAGACATATATATAATACGATGATAGAAGGTATTTTAATCGACTTAAAAAAAAGTAATACGGAATCGAATTCGACGTGTTTTGCTATCCTATACTATATTATTTGCACAAATTAGAATACTTTCGCGTTCAATAAAGCATAAAAGTACCTATATAGTCTGTTGCCTAAAATTAATAAAACTTTAGTTTACTGAGACATCTTTACGAGATAAATATTATATTTATACCAAACCTAACCGACGGTTATGTAAAACCAGTGTGACCTATTATTTAACAAGAATTGAAAAGAAGTGAAGAAGAATTTTAACTAGTTTACAGACCACCTCAGTTCAAGTCATGACATAATTGATTTAACAGACATTGTTCAAGCGTCCAACCTAATTAACGATGCAAGAGAGCGAATTGTGCTACCTAATTATAACTAAATGAGCAAAGACAATACACTATTTATGTTCAACGATTTATCACACAAAGAACTAGCGTTTCAGTTAGTATGGACACAACGACCACAGAAATTTGGTTTAGAAAAACCATAGCTTATTATTTTCCATGCACGTACAAGACACGTTCCCTTCTTGTATAACAAAAGATATTATGTAAAAATTACAAAGACAAAACGTTTAACTAACGAGTTCATTTTTGGAAAGCACGCTTTGAAATTCATAACGAATCTAATTATCTGGTATTTGTGACATTGACAATGTTTTTATGTATGTAAATTGTCATTAAATTTATAATTAGCTAGTCGCGATAGCGCTTTATCGATGTTGACAACGAAATCCATTATACATGATGCGATTATTCTGATGGATTCCACGCGAGGCATCAACTCCCCCGAAATCGAACAAAAGAACTGGGATTTCGCCTCCGAGGCTAATGCTCACCCCACATCGAGAAAGGAGATGTAAAGAAAAATGCGTATTTATAGCAAATACTCGCGTACTCAAACAGACCTACATTGTGTACGAGTCAAATAAATGAGTCTCATTTTTCGTGCTGTCAAAAAAATCTGAATGGAAAAGAAAACGCGGGGTAAAAAACGGCAGGCTGCGGGGTTTATTTCGTTCTTAATGCAATACTGATTTCGGATGTTTCAGATTAATTGCATCTTACCTGAGCTGGCGGCAGAAGGGTGACGACTGAAAGAGTTCTCGCGACGCTGATCGATCGCTGAGCGCAGATTGAAAGGAGAGACGTGAAAGGTAATTATTCATTTGGCGACTAGAATAGAACACTTTTGTACCTTTATCTCGCCTCTTTTTTCTCCAGTTTTGCACGAAATTTGCAAGTAAATGGATGATGTGACACGGTGATTTGTTTTGTTTGACACGTTGGAGTTCTCACGCATTAGAATTTAGTATTTGCATATAATAATCATTTTCTGCGTTTAATTTAATACCATTTTTATTTATACTCACTATGGAGTGCATTAGCATCTTTGTTTTGACAATAACAAAAGAAAAAGTGAAACGCAAGGCCAGTCAGGAGCGCCACAAAAAATTTGCAAACAATTTTAAATTTGGAACCCGGAAGATTGCACAAAGGCGCAAAACAAAGCCCGGGTGCACATGTGATCCTGACCTGGTTTTGCGAAATCCTATCAAAGACGTCTAGACAATAACAGGAGCCTTCTGCACAATAGTCTTTATGATTTATATGACATTTCTTTGACATTTCATGAAGCACGCCTCATTTGAATACACTTGTGCTTTGCACATTGCATAATGATTTTTTCATTTGCACAAACTGTCGTAACATTTCAATGGACATTTGGTTACCATATTAAGTTTCTATGATACAAGTAAAATATTTATAAACAAGGATTTATTTAACATTACAATGTAAGTATTAACATCACAACGCTTCTAGCTTCTAACATAACAGGTAAATAATGAAGTAAGTTTATATTTTCAGTCTTACATCGAGTTAAAACAAAAATACGAAATAATCATAATAAAGCTATGTTCCGTGTAAAATAGCAACTAGGCGTAGAATGGGGAATTATGGTCTTTAACATAAACGTTCGTGGATGTTGAGATCAAGATGGCGTATAAACAAAAATGGCCTTACAACGAAATTATCTAAAACATTGAGAATACCTGAAAAATTACTATTGAATTTTTAATACAATCAATTGATGATCTTTTCATAAAAGATACACTTTGTCCCTAGTAATAAAGATACAGTAAAAATGACATTTTAAATGCTCTAGGGCCTACATGTTTCTTTTTATTGTACAGGAAATTTTTTTGAACCTTTGAGAAAACCTACACCTAGAAATAAATATTGATGCAATACAATCAATTGATGATCTTTTCATAAAAGAACATTAGTAATAAATTTGATGACACAACAAAGAAGGGCAATTTAAAATGCATCTAAGTCGTACATGTTTCGTCCTTGTGTTGTCATGAAATTATCTAAAAATTAAATACCTAAAAAATATTAATAAAAAAAAATTAAAAATATAAAAAATATGACAAAAAAAGTAAAATGCATCTAGGTCCTACGTGTTTCGTCCTTGTGTGTTATCATATAAAATAAAAAAATCTACACAAAGCCGGCTCAAAAACACGTAAGTATTCACTAACGAATAACTCCATATTTCAAAGGATTTGCATAATACGTTTAAATTACTTAATTCTAGAAAATAACGAAATAGCACAGTCCTTAACGACGTGTATTATGTTTTGTTTAAGTAAACAGTACTGTTGAGTGCTGAATCACGATTCTGATAATGGACTTCGGAATATCGTGGTCTATAACCTGTTATTTTAGATAAAATTCTTTCTAAAAGAAAATATGACCATAAATCTTTAACCGATACGCTTTTTAAATTATAAAATGTTGTCTTATTCCAAATGTATAATTTATGTGAATATACTTCATTATTAAAATAAGCTTATGACTTGTTGCTGTAATTGGAAAACGTAAAACCAGAACGCGTCAAGCTAAGTAGCAAATTGGCCAAAGCAGCTTATTAACTTTTTTCATACGCATGACATAATTTCGTAATTACCTTTGAACGATCATAATGATCGGAACATCTCAATACAAGTAACGAGTTGGTCATTAATTCGGGGATATATCTCAAGATAACTTCATTCTGGTAGCCGGCTGCTTTGTATGCCTTACTCAATGCGTCCGTCATTACGCACTTACAAGGGACTTTTACACAGAGCTATTGGATTTTTAACTTTATGTCAATAGCCTTAGGGAGATTATGGATCATAATTTAAGTGTGTGAACGCACCTCTCTTGCTTTTATCTTATTGGTCAACCATTACTCCTAAATTTAAACTCTTCATTATAATGCCGCAGCGAGAAAAGTCATGATAAGGTGCGCGTGGATAAAATACAGGTAATGAATTTTGATAAAGGTGAGGTGTTTCCTTGTGGATAGATAATATGGTAAAACGAGAAACTTGTTTTGATGGAAACACCAATAATGAACGCGGTGACAGGGACATTGATGGAGCGTATTGATAATCGTATAATTTATGGACGGCGTTATATAAAAATAAACACAGCAATGATTGAGTGTAGTACGGGCAAAGATTATGTTTATATGATGGTTTGAGTGTTTGGGGATACTTAATTATTAGGTTTAATGAAGCCATATTTATATACTAAAGAGGTAATATGTGATTGAATTGTCGGCAGTGACGAGGTGTGGAATGTAGTGGTATCCTTTTGGGAATAAGAAATGCTACTGAAGGAGACAGCAGATCGAGAGAGGAGCGCTCTAAGACGAAACCTAGACTTAGAAGACGAGGACTAAATAGGAGAAGATATGCCCATCTCCTACGTAATGTATACTGCAGCGGAGGTTTTGAGCATAACAGTTTTACTGCTGAGGCCTTGGTAAAATGCGCGAGTGCCGGAGCCACTCTAACGCGGCCTGTAGGAACTATCCGAGATGGTTTTGGTGAATGCTGAGATTCTTGTGTGGGTAGGGTCCGACATACGCCTGCGTCTTTCGGGGGCATGGGAAGCCTAAATACAATGTGATATTAATATTTTTGTAACAGTCTGTTTTGTTACATAGAGACTAAGGATTTTATAGGTGTGGTTCAAAGTTTAAAAGAGTACTCGTGCAGCATACATGTATAGGAAAAGCACATATATAAGTCGAGATAGTCGCTATTATATAACAGCGGATTAGTATAGTGACTAGTATATTAAATGTATGCAAAAATGTTGATTAATATGAAAGCACTTGAAAATGGATAACACGCGTTCTGAGATCGACGAAGATTGGAACCTGCGACAATTATATTTAATTTTAAGTAATTAATTAAGTTTTTGTAGCATGCATTTTTATTTTGTCAAATATAAATTACTCAAGTTCACGACATACCTTTAAATTACCTATGCATACTTATAAAATTCCAAGAATTTTAGTAATTTTCGCCATGGTATTGCATGAAATTTCCTCGAAGCCGCTTGCATGAAGATAGTAATTTTAAAGTTCATCATTTTACAACGTAACATCTCGTGTACGATACAATTTAACCCATGTTCGTGTATAGGAATTTGCGAGTTCTATTCAACTATGAATTACTTAATACATTGTATACAAAAGGTACTATTTTTTTAAATAATAAACTTGTAAGTCATATAGTTAAATAATAAACTGTAATAATTAAATCCACGATAAACAAAAAAATTACTTACAAAAATTAAATTGAAATTTTTAATTTGCTTTTATACTAAAACTACACACTTGCGTTTTAATACATGTATATGTTATGTATTACATATTTAAACCATAGATAGCTTTAATGTTTGTTTATTATCTCACTATAAGGAGGTTGGCTACTTTAAGCAAGTAATTATCTTTCGAAATATAAAAGTAGCAGATAATCTTATGACATATGTCATGCGTTTGATTCCATGGCCTTCAGTATATTGACGCTATTATATTACTCCTTTTTGCGTAGTAAATCGAATGTTAATCGATACCTTTAGCGAAAATCGATTAGGAACAATCGATATTCACTCCCGAGAGGAGGACGGGGTGGTTGTCTCTGCAGCGGGCGTTGACTAATCGAGGCGCGTCCGCGCGGAATAAGACTGATTGCACTCTGCTATGTGGCCCTCCTACCTACACAAACCGACATTATTTAAGAAATCAGCCTGCTCGAGCGGTAACAAAGAGATTTTGCCGCCTACAAACAATATTTCCTTGTAACTTTTACTGTAGAACTATAGTTGGTCGAGGTATGGGTAGATCGAACTAATAAGTTATTGTTAAAATGTTACGATAATTCTACGAAAATAATGGTACAAAGGTTCATATTTGAGTGAATGTTAATAAAGTCGAAATTCACGATGAATATTTATATGTACATTATAACTTGACTAACGAATATAAAATATTGGCATAAATATATATTTAATAAATTCTATACATTATACATTGAAATAAATAAATACATACCTATATTTATGTACATACATATGATATAGGTACAATACAATATGAAAGTTCTAATAAGTCAAGTTCTACACTTTTTTTTACTATTTAGTTTAATAACAAAATACAGAAAGAAATTGACATTTCACGATTATACTCTAACATATAATTTGTGATAAGCGAAAGGAATACTAAAGACCCCAAACTACCCCATTAATTCACACACGCGATATTAAAGTCGTATAAAACGAATTAGTATCGATAAAAACATAATAATTGTAACAATAATAAATTATAATGAGCCAATTAATCAATTTCAATGTCAGAAGCGTCATTAATATCAATCAGGTAATCATGTTATTAATAAGAGGCTAGTACTGATAATTAATTTTTACTTTGGAACATGCGATGTCCACCCATTTCGCACTTACATCTGTAGCACGTAGCAAAATTATTGAGCGAAACGGTAAATTATGGTCACGATAACAAGAACTATGTTGTGGATAATCATTTTTATAAAAACTTTTAATATGAATCGTTGGTATATTATTGTAATATATGGAGCGGATCTTAACGTATATTAACGTAGGTATATAAGACTTTTTTATATGTGAACGTAAACTCAAAGTGCTAACGGTGAAGAAGCAACGTTCAGGACAACGTATGACAGGTATAAGGCATAATATAATGTTTTTCTAAGTCTATCTGACAAAGGTTTACGGATTCAAGAGCACTAAAGTGAAACTACATTTATTGAATCTTAAAATAAATATTAAATGACAAGCACACTCTAGTGTAAATTTTAAAATCAATAAATGTGACAAACCATTATTTAACTATTAAATGCTTATAGTAGAAACCTATACGAAATTGTTAAATTATTAACTTCATGTACATGTGTTAATATTTGAGTAAAATAATGCCTATAAAATTATGTCAGTATATACACTCTAATCTCACACACACCATTACAAGCCACACAACACAATAAGGCCTTTAATATAATTTGATCGCATTTAATGATAATAACAGTAACCATTTTAGACGTCTAATTATATTATGTGAAGTGAGTTTTATGATAGCCCTATAATTAAACTCTGCTTTATAAAATTTATTAATTCTCACTAAGGCTAAAAGCTTCTACGTTGACATTCTTGGCCGATCAAGACAAAGAAGATTGTTGGATACTTTTAATTGCAAACTTAATCTTTCTTAAGAAAAGGAAAAGATAAATTAGTCCATGCCAAGTTTTTAAAGTAACTTTTGTTTTGTATTTACGCGCTTTATAAAATATTGCTATTTGCTACCATGCAGGCAATATACAATGCGATATATTTTTATATAAATATTTCCGACTTAATTCTATTTAGGTGAAACCCCTATAATATATGAACTACACTATTTTGGTGATTAAACTTATTCCCAAAATAACACACAAAGCAAATTTATCACAATTAAACAGGTTTAGGTGTCGTTTATTCAAATATCACTATTTCAATTCCTTTTATGAAGGTGACTGAAAGCTGATATGATAAGTCTCTTAAGTATTTGCCGTTTCACTTAACTTTGAACTTACAAAGTACGGAACTTTTGTTTTTACATCACACAAAATAAGCTTAACTATTTTTTACGTTTATAGTGACTAGCTTAGTGGGCATATGAAACAATTAATTAACTATTACACGGCGAATGCGTGGTATGTGGACAGCGGAGTGGCGAATAGGATCGATGGTGACAAATCGGTGTCGACACAAGGGTATGCAATGTAATAGCATAGCGGAAATAGCTAGCGGTTAGTACGGTATGTAAAGCGTGCATGTATTGTTCCATATTGAATTCGTATGGGATTGCTTTGTTTATTTGATGATTACGGCAAATACCAAATTGTAACATGTTTTTTTTTAAATTTAATTCAGGGCATGGCCATATAGTTTTTAGAATATATAAATTGAATCAAATTCCTAATTAAAAAGTCACGTATAAAGTTAAGAGGTATATACATTGAATAAATAACGTAGCTAATAAAGAATCGTTGGAACTTAAACAGAATTTTGATTTCATATCCGATCCATTGATGTACGAATCGCTCGAGAGCGATCGGCGCTGGATATATTGCGCTCTCATCAGTTTTATGTTCTGACACTTACAGTTAATGCTTTTAGAAATACACGGCATTAATTTGTAAGGCAGCTTAGTACGAGTGCCTGTTGACACAAACATTACTGATTTTGCTTGCGAACAAATGTCGATGTTATTTTAAATGTCCTTTTTTGACGATGAAATTTTATTCAAATAAGTTTAAACAAAACATAAATTTAAACGAGTCTGAAGAATTTGTAATTGAATCCATACATTGGACCGATTATCTATCCAATTTAAACACATACTTACGTTTATTTAGGTAAACCGAAGAAGATACTGCAAATTTTTAGAAACATTTTTGGGGCTTACACTTCGTAGCCGATATCGGCTGTTATAAAACGTAACTAAAGTGAGACGTGCTTATTACAATAATTATTTTTTTTTATATAGAGAAAGCACCATAGCTATGCTAACAAATAAATACAGTAATATCCTCTTCGGAAGTCCGTAAAAAATGCGCCATACGTATAGCTATTTTAAAAAACGGTTAAATTCGACACACAAGTGTTAATCTATTTATAGATACTGATTAATGATATGTGAGTGAAGAGGGGACGTTTTGGCGATGTGATAGATGATGCATCGAATATTAGATATTATAGAAAAGCTTTGTTCTTCGGTGAAAGCTTTAGGGTCAACAGTCAGAGCGGTTCATAATGACGTCATTGTATATCGGTAATGAAGGTCGGTGAACGTAGAAAAAATATGATATACTTTTAATGCAAGCCCTGCTTACACGCACGACGTATAGCCTTGAAGTCAGGCGTCGAATTCACGGCGTGCATGTATAAATAAAACAGATAAATATTATTTCCTTACAGAAAATCCCAAGGGTTTTAATTTTATTTTATTGTTACGCATTACGGTTGTACTCTTACGCATTGGATACTTTGCCTAAATCTGGAATATAAAAGATTGAATTCTGAATACCGAAACATCATTAGTAAGTTTTTGTTAGAATAACTTTAGTTTTAAATATAAAGAAAGTAACTTGAAGTACTTTGGGACAATTCTCGAATTAAAGTGCACCTTTCGAAGCGACTTTCTTTGTTACAGGTATTGCGAATAATTGTAGCGCAGCCCTTTCTAAAGAAAGTGTTTACTGATTTACAACCACCTTAAAATCCGCAAACGTAACAACAAATAGATTTTTTTATGCAAATCGAAAGTGTGAAGGTGTAACGAAACACGCAAGAATGCGAAAGTGCAAGACAATGGCTCTGTGACAATTGACCACCTGCGGACAGCCTATTTGAATATTCGCAATTCAAAAAAACACTGTGCAAGTTTCGTTTTCACTTCACCTAAGTCAGTATTCAATTGAATTTAGAACGTACTAGTCCACGAATGTAAGATAAGTTAAATTATAGAACATATCAAGTGACGAAAGATATTGATAGTCGATGGAATAAATAAGATTAAACCGGT